GTAGCATGTATTGTCTGCCACTCGCTATCGACATACAAAGTACTGAGGCCAAATGGGCATCAAAGGGATGACAGGTGGAAACGACCCTGGCAAACACGACGCCAAAAAAAAAAAACACTATTCGGCGAGACAAGCGAGCGGAGGTTGAGTGGTGGAGGAACCATGATCGGACTGTGCGTGGCAGGTAGGCGGGCAAGGGCAGGTCCCTAGGTAAAGTTCCTACCCTGGGTTATGAGGGATTCGCGAATGGCAGTTCTGCGCCTCTCTCGTTGTGAGGGAACGAACCAGACGCTGGCTGCCAGGAACGAGGGACTGGAGGTACCGGTACGCGGCTGGTACAGGGTCCGGCCTCCTCTCATGTCAGACATGAAACGGAGTTTTCCCCGTAACCCATGTTCCATTTCCGATCTCTGGCCCCCGTCCCCTCCTTTAGCGACCTCTAGGCACAGCGTTAAGGGTCGTCGGTGAGGATCATTTGGTGTTGGCGCAAGACAAGGACTGCCATCCGGGCTGGTGAACACACAGGGCAAAGCAAGGAACAGAGGGCCAGGTGCTTTCTCCGAGGCCCAGCCTGTTCATAATAATAAGAATAAGCCAAAGCAGGTAGGTAGGGTGGCAGGTGTTCCATCAGGAATCCGAGCCCGGCCCCCTTCCCGTCGCCAACGTGCATGAAACGGCGCCCGTCCCCACCCTGAGGCACCCAAAGCCCATCATCCATCATTCCCAGAGCGTAGTAGCCCGTCCTATTCCAGGCTTTTTATTTTGTGTTTCCAGCGCATCGTGATCAGGGGACACGAGGTGACATTCATCCACTCGGCTCCCCCCTCCCCCTCACTACCCTCACCGCATCTGGAAGCCGAGCCAGCGCGCTGTCACGGTCGAAGGCGTGCCATCGTAGTCCCTATACGACGAAAAGCATCCGGTACGTCATTTACCCTGGTCGAGCACATCTTCGTCCATCCTGTCGTGTTCGAGTGCCCAAGTGTCCCAAGGGTTCAATCAAGTGCCCGCGGGTGGATGGTGGGAGGTCGGTCCCACGAGAAGGATTTCGACCGTGGCTCGATTCAGTCATTCGCATATCTGTGTCCAGCCACGCCACGCTACGCAGG